ATTATTTTTTAAAATATTATAAGTATATTAGTTAATTTAAATAGTATTACTAAGTATTTAAATAATCTATAGCATATTCTAAATGCTGTTTTTTATTTATTTTTTAGCTTAATATAAATAAGGTTATAGGCTTTTTTAAGGTTAAGTGCTATAAACTATTTTACTTTAAATAACTAGTCTTTAATTTTAATTATTAATAGTAAAGGTATAATATCCTTTTTTATAATTTTATTAAGCTTTTAGTAGTTAATAATAAGTTATAGTTTTTTATTTTTCTTTAATATAAATATTATAAAGTATCTTGCTAATAACTTTAATAGTTTAATATATTCTTTTTATAATTAGTTATTAATCTATTCTTAAAGTATCTTAAGTTTATTTTAATTAAGATTATAAATTTTATAAAATATTAAGTTCTTTTTATTTTTTAATTTAATTTTATAGTCTTATTTTATATTTAATAATAAGCCTGTTTTAAGTTCTTTTTAAAATACCTTTTAGAACTTATAGTATTTATAAAGTATATTAGCTATTCTGTTTTTTAGCTTATTATCCTTTACTTTTTTTATTATTATATTAATAAAATATAAGTCTTATAATACTATATTAAGTGTTCTCTTAGCCTATTTTTATAGGCTCTTTTATTAATTATTATAATATTATAGTATAATATTTACTTTCTTATTAAATTTAACTTTCTTTTTTTATAATATTCTTTTAGCCTTTTCTTATTTTAATAGTATTTTTTTAGCCTTTTTAGTTTTTTTATATTTTCTTTATTTTTTTAATTCTTATATTTTTAATATTTTTATAGCTTTTTTAAGTAGTTATATTATTTTATTATATAATGCAGTAGCTTTTAGTACTAGGGCTAGGGATATTATAATATCTTATAGCTTATCTTAATCTAGTTATTATCTTTATTTTCCTTCTCTTAGTTAAGTATAGTTTTACTATTTTATATAGCCTTTTATCTAGTTAATTATTAAATTATATATCTTTAACTAATTATATCCTAAAAGGAGATTATACCTTTAGATATTTATAATATTAAACTAAAATAAATTAGTAAGTTTATAAAAGCTAATATTAAAGTAATTAGTCTTTTAGTTAACTATCCTTTTATTATATAAAAACTTCTATGCTTTAATACTTATAAGTATATATAGGCATTCTTTTAAATAGTTTAGTAGCTATAAGTAATTAACTAGCTAAGGTGTAATATAGCTTGCTATTACTTTACTATTAATATATATAGTAATTATATATCCTTTTAGTATTCTTTTTATTAAAAACTTATTCCTTTAATTAAAGTTTGTTTTTATTAAGTTAAGGTAGTGGTTATTTATTATACTATCCTTTATGCTAATGTTATTAATATTTATTTATATTTAAATAACTTCTAGTTTATAAGTATAGTACTTTTTATACTAATAGCAGCCTTACTTTAGTTTAAAGTGCCTTATTAAGCAGTAGTATTACTTAATATTTTACAGGTTAAGTATCTTATTCTTAAGGTTATACTTACTTACCTTTACTATATAATTTATAAGATTATACCTGCTTTATATAAGCTTCTTACTTACTTCTTTAAGTGCTTATTAGTATATATTATAAAAGTTATAATAGTACTTATTATAAAAGGTAAACTTAGGTTATTTATATATTATTTATTACTTTTAGTTATACTAGTTTATAACCTTATTTATAATATAGTCTTAATAAAAGACTTTATTATAGTTATTTTTATTCTTTTTACTATATTTTATAATAAATAGGTTTTATTTTATATAGGCTTTTATAAAGAGAAAATTTAATACTATTAGATTATTTATACTTTAATAGTATTATAGTTATTATTTATCTTATAGTTCTTTACTAATAGCTATTTTTATAAGGATTACTAATACTAATCCTTTTTTAGTTTCTTTATTATATAGTATAGGCCTATTTATAGCTCTTTTAGCTATTTTATTAATTAAGGGGTAAAGTAAGATTATATTAAAGATTGCTAGTTCTTAATTATTAAAGTAATAACTATAATTATATTTAGTATTATTAGTATTTTAAGATTTATATTCTTTATAATATTCTTATTCTGGTTTTTTTATTTATATAGCTTTTATAATCTTATTAATTTTAGCTATTTCTTATTATTCTTTTTAAAGTATCTTTTAGTTTTTATTCTAGATCTTAAGCTCTTTAGCTTTTATTATATTTAAGTTAGAGATTCTGTTATTATTATATTTATTACTTAGTAGTTAAGTAATAAAAGTATTAAAATACTTTTTATTCTTTAGTTTTTATAAAAACTATTTTAATCCTTACTTTTTATTAAGGTAGATTAAGTAATTATTATTATAGTATATTATTTAACTAAGACTTTTATAGTTTATAGTAAGTGCTATAGTGTTTATAAACTTCTTATCTTATAGTTTAGGTATTAGTAATTATTATTTATTATTATTCTTTTTTAATAGGCTATAGTAGAACTTCTTAATATATCCTTTCTTTTTATAATTAAAGCATTTAATATTTTATTAATTATGCTTTTTCTAGTTAATAGTATTTAAATCTATTAGTCTAGGTTTTTTATTATTATATATTATAATATTATATTTTTTCTTTTAGTTTATAAAGTTTCCTTATTAAAATAGTTTTTAGTTATTATGTTTTTTTATACTATATTCCTTATATTATTTATATAATTAATTATTAATTTAAGTTGCCTTTTTTAAAAGGGCTTTAAATAAGTCTAGGAGATTATCTTATATAAGTTTATCTTTTATTTTAGATTTTAGTCCTTAATAATAAAGTACCTTTTTTAAGGCATTATTTATATTAGTTTTAGCGCTAATCTAAATAAATTCTGCTATAAACTTTAAGCATAACCCTTTTTATTTAAGTTTAAGGAGCTAGTTCTTAGCTTCTTTCTTTTTATTAATAGCTTTAAAAATATCCTTAATTTATTATTTAAAGTGTTTATAATTATTATATATTACTATAGTAGTTACTTTATATTTACTAACTTTATTAATAATAGCTTTATAGTTCTACTAGTATAGTTTAAACTAGTCTTTAGCTGCTTTATTAAGTTAAAAAGTAGCAATCTGCACTTTTATTTTATTAATTAAGATAGTTACTAGGAAGTACTTAAAGTATATTTTTATATTTATAAAAAATGCTTTAGTCTTTTTTATATCTTTATTATATATAGCTAGTATAAGTAGCTTAATAATTTCTTTAAGTTATTTTTTATTATGCTAGGCTTATATATTATTAACTAATAGTGCTTACTATTAGTTTAGTTAAGCTTTTAAGGTTATAATTATAGCCTATTACTAAGCTTGTTCTTAGTTTACTTATTAAACTAAGGCTTTAAGAGCTATAAGTTATTAAAGAGCTGTATTTTTAGCTATATTTTAAGCTATTTACTTAAAATCTATTTATATTAAAGTTACTATATTAACTTATTACTATTACTTTTTTATATAAGTAATACTTTCTTTATATTTTACTGCCTAAAGGTTTAAGGTAACTTTTTAAATAGGAGTTATTATTATATAATAAACTAGTGTCTTTATAATTAGTAAGAATAGTCTTTCCTAAAGGATAAACCTAAGGTTTAAGGGTTTATATTAGTAAAGAGGTTAGGTTAAATATATTAATAGTGACTTATTATATAGCTAGTAATATATATAGTAGATGTTTAAGTTTTAATCTAGTTATATTATTACTAAGGTGCTACTTATATAATAATAACTGTCTATTTAAGCTATTTAAATAAGTAATATAAACAAGTCCTTATATAGCCAGTTATCTTAATATTCTTAATATACTTAATCCTTAAGTTTATTAAGTTATCTTTAATTTACTTAATAGTTAAGTTTATTAAGTAGTTCCTAATTAGTTAAACGGCCTGATGTTTATCTAGTGCTGTTTACTAAGGGTGGCCTATTTATTATGACTATAAGGTTAGGTTATAACAGTTAAGTTTATTATAAATAATAGTCTATTTATTAAAGATTAGAGTTAAGAGTTATTAACTACTTTAACAGTAGGGTTATTAGCGTTAATTAGTAAGTAAAAGTACACTAAATTTATCTATTATTAAATCTTTTAATCTAAAGAAGAACCAGAAGGGGGGAGCGCGGTTATGTAGCTGGGATAAAGGTTAAATAGATAGGCACAAAATGGACAAACTGGTGGTGTTTGTTCACATCGTCAAAAGTTGCCGAGAAACTCAACCGTGACTTCGCCTCTTCTCCGAATTGAGTTTCACTTGTCCGTGTTTTGGGTAAATAGATAAGGACCTCATGGACGGAAGAGACTGTCATGAGCCGTTTCGGGGGACAAACACATGTTCATCGTGAAGCTACCACTACTCTAGCATCAAGCTTTGGAGCTGTTTCTATTGCCTCTTTGAAAGTCCCAAAAGTATAACTCAATCGCCCGGAGAGATTTTGAAGGTAATGATATGCCTGATGAGCGGCTGAGCCCCTGTCGTAAGAGTTGGCGTTACAGATATGCCTCTAACTTCACGTTGGTAGTGCCGATGGTACATTAGTTGTTGTCGCCGTTCAGAGATCTGTGTAATCGTCCCATACTTGTGAGCCCTCGGTGTATCGACAAGGTTAGAGCCGGCCCCGACGATAGAAAGACTACAGACTGACTACGGTCATGTCGACAGCGGCTACTGGACGCGTTACCGATAACGCTTCAGCAGTACGTCGGCTGCGTCCCCAAACTTTGACTTTAGCATGGTTTCGCGAATAGTTTCCGCGATATATTCGTTCCCATCCAGAGGGCGAACATCGTGAACACAGTGGCTTAGCCCCATTGCTGCCAGCGTACCCAAAACGTAGGCCCGGCTCTCTGGCAGATGTTTGATCAGGGAGTTCAAGATTCGTAGTTGTCCGATGAAACGCCCATCTCCGGGAAGAAGGGTCGTCCCTGTTATGGACGAGTAGGATGTTGAATGGTTGATCGGCATGGGAGCCTCATTGCTGCTGCTGCTTGATGATCTGACTGGTGCCTCAGATATAATGGCAGTGTTGAAATTCCATGAGACAGCCTTGGCCGCGTAATCATTTGGCTCCGGAAAAATCTGGCATAATCTTGACGGTCCTGGATTGTCAAAGTAGCAGCGGCACGTGGAGAAAAAGGGAGCATTGTAGAAGTCAATTGCGTCTGCAGCACGAGCAGCACCGGCGAGGTTCTTTCGCAGCCGCTCCATGCTTATGACGATCGTTATGTAGAGCGCAACTTCTTGCATCAGCGCGAAAGTGTTTGCATTCGTCTCGGGCTCTGTCTCCAACGTTTCGAAAGGAATGTTGCCGAGGTTCAATCCATACACGTCTGGGCCGTGGACTCCATTGATAACAGGTCGATATGACTCGTCGCTCACTCGATACAGCGCCCAGTTGAGAACATCTTGTGCTTCTGCGTTGTCTGCAGACCAGTGGTAACGCCAGGCCAGCAAGTCCAGGAACATGGACTCGAGCTGCTGCTGAAGTTCGGGGACTGTGGTTGGGGTCTCCTCGCGAATGACGGTGCAATCGCCGGCGACCCATTGGGAACGTTCATTGAGGACTCGGTCGGTTTTCTCAAGAGTACTGGGGAGTGACGAGAGTATGTCAAGCAGCTTGTTCGTGTTGGACTTGTTTTCTGGGCACAATGACCATGGTATCGTCTTCCACTTCTCTTGTTCGAGAAAGGTGCCACGCCTTTGCACAAGCGCGTTAGCCAGCTATCATAGATTAGCATGTGTAAGTTGCGAGGTCGGCAGTACTCACCATTGTGAATCTGCAGGATTCGAACACTGGCAGGATTAACGGGTCTGTGAAGCATTCCGGCCCGCAGTGTTCCAGAATACGAGCCAGCCCTTCGTGGTGGACGAACCGAAGGTCAGAATCCACAGCAATCTTGACGATGTGATCAGCGTTTATGCACTTTTGGCTCTTCGGGATGAGCAACGAGTATCACTTGGTCTGAGAGCGTCCAGACTTACCGCATACGACCCCAGAATGGAGATGGGCTTGATGAGAGTCGCCAATTCTGATTTGGATGCTACCCCAAGCCTTGACTGAAGCCTTTGGAGGATCGTACCGTAGATTCGCTGACCCTTGTGCCGCAGGGGTTCGACGTGATGGTCCCGGCTAAAGATTCCATACGCGAGTGCCCGAAGGCTGTCGTAGCCAAGCTCGTCCGTTTGCTGAGTGAGATGCTGGCGCATTGGTGTATCCTGGAGGAAGATACTATGCATGTTGATCCAGCCGTAGGCGTCGAAGAAGTAGGAGAAGGTGACATTGTCGACGAACGGGTCGAGGTTTGGCTGACTGGTGAGAGGCTGCGTCGCCTGCTGGAGAGCCTTTGCGGTTTGCTTCACCTCGGGTTTCCCTCTGCGACTCCTGCCGCCGTCTCGAGATGATGGACCACCGACATTATCCTCATCACGACCTGGCGCTTCTGACGGGAATGAAGTCGACTGCCCGATTTTGACCAAGCTCGATCGACCGACTCCATGACTCTGGATTCTCAGGATTCGATCGTATCCCAGGCACTCATATCGCGACCTCTGGCACTGTGCACAACTCGGCTTCTGCTGGTCACATTTGATCCGACGGCGACGACACGTATGGCAGCTGGCACTGGTCGGCTCTCTACCCATTTCGCATCTCGGCGGAGACTTTGTTCTCTTTTCCTGTGAGAAGAAACGTGAACAAGTAACCTTCCATCATCTCCCAGCTCAATTCACGGCTGCCTGTCATCATGCATCACGTGATAGTCGCATCTTACTCTTCCGCCCTTTTCGTCCGCACATTCCGCTCAATTATGTCATACCTAGTACTACCTACTTGGCAAGGGTCTTCTTATATCGCATGGGATGCTCCCATATCAGAATGAGGAGGAGTATCAATCTTGATGCAGCATGAAGTATCACTGAAAACAGACTTGTGGTAAGCCATCGTGAGAATCAGTTCCAGATTCGGCCCAGAACCTCACGCTAGCTTTGGGGCGAGTTGCAAAAGCGCTTCTTGTCTACTTGTGTCAACTGGTTGCAGCAACCTGCTTCCATCGAAGCCTCATTGATTGACACTCATCAGCCTATTTCTTCCAATCTCTCGTGGCCGAAATGTCTTCAACAGCTTATCCAGCGCCCGTGACCTTTTACCAGTTTTGGTCTTCGGGCCCGGTATGTACAAATTCGTACTCGAGTCGCTACTTTCTCAGAATCTGGATACCACATCGCTATTTCACGCCAAGCATCGCCAAAAGTTTCCTCTGCCGCCGCCGCTTGCAAATCCATTGATGCCCCTCCAAGCCTGCTCAACGAGCCATCAGATTTCTGGACGCCGCCATTTGACACGCATTTACGATTCATATGCCAGATGAGAAATCATGAGTTGCTACGCGCATGAAACTGGCCTTTACTTTGACGCTTTGTAATGGGAACCAAAAGGGGTCCACGGGTTGGATGGTGATGCGGCTGAGATGGTGAGTGTATCGGCAACAGTATAAAGAGCGTCTTGATTCAACCTTCTCGACAATCTCAGCATCAATCAACAAACTTGGTCTCTTCTTTTCTTCTTACGGCCCTCACCATGAAGCAACACACCTCCCGCTACGCCGGTCTGACTGCCGCTCTCCAGCGCGTTGACTACAGCGGCAAAACAATTCTCGTCACCGGCGGCGGCTTCGGCATGGGCGTCGACATGTGCCGCTCGTTTGCAGCTCGCAAAGCAGCCCAGATTGTCATTGTTGGCCGTAACGCGGCTCGTGTTCAGACTTCTGCCGCGGAGCTCGCCGAAGAGTATCCCGAGACCAAGTTCACTCCCATCGCTGCCGACATCTCCTCCCAGGACGATGTGAAGAGACTCTTTGCGTCCCTTGATTCCTCACCCGCAGTGCTGGTGAACAATGCGGGCTACATGCCAGCTCCTACACCCTTCCTTGAAATTGATATGGACGATTGGTGGGCCGGCTACCAGATAAATGTGTATGGCTCAGTCAACGTTTCCCTGGCCTACCTGCGGCACCGAGCTGCCCAGCCCTCCGTCGATGGTCCCGGAGTCGTCATCACGCTCAACACGATAGCGGCATACCACTTTCCTCTACCAGCTCTGAGCGCCTACGCCTCGAGCAAGGCCGCCCTCGCCCGCTGGTCCGAGTGTGTTTCCGTCGACGTCCCGGCTGAGACTGCTCGATTCATCTCCCTTCATCCAGGCGCGGTCATGACGTCAATGGGAGAGAGGGCGGGTGTCATTGACTCGCTTGTCGTGACTGAGGCATCTCTCACAGGCGACTTTACGGCTTGGTTGGGCTCTGAGGAGGCAAGTTTCCTGGCTGGACGCTTCGTCTGGGCCAACTGGGACTGCGACGAGCTCCTTGCTCGCAAGCAGGAGATTGTCGAAAAAGAATTTTACAAGACTGCTCTAAATGGTGCTGAGACTTTGCCCTGGAAATAAACTTGTTTGGTAGCATGGCATAGATGAGCTGAGCACAATCACAGCATTTGACCTACACGACAATATGCATCACATCAATTACCCGATCTCACATATACTTTTGTTTGCTGTCCTTCTCATCTTCTCCTTGTTATGCTCTCTTTACTTGTGACATTCGATTGGTGTTGAGCAGTTATCGCATCTCGCATCTGCCGGGTTCGTTTCGTTGATCTTCTCCCTTCCATCCCTATTCATGTATAAACTCATGGCGCTGGAATATGCAAATGTATCACTGACTGTCAACTCTAGTGCAAACTTGCTGTGCTGACGAACGCAGACTGAGGAGGTTGGTAAGTTATGAGTGGCTGCGAATCATCTTTAAGACCTCCGTATAAGTGCTCACACCTTGAAAAAACAGAGGCAAGGTCATCCGCATGGTCAGGCCCTGGCTATCTTTTAACCCTTCAATAATGGCTCCATTGTTTTGACAAGATTGAAATGCAACCAATAGGAAATTTTCAGCTACACCTCGTCAAATTCGATCCTCATTATCGTAATTGTGGCTTGAACTTGTACGAAATGGAGGCGTTTTCCGACTCGTATTGGGCGGCATTCACGGGTGCGATGGCGGTTCACAAGCAGACGGTGCTCTTGTTCTGAGCCGTTTGTGCAAATTCTACGACACGCAGTATGGGGCATGGCAACATGCAGCACGTTCTACCTATCCATATCAACTGCGGGCGCGGTCTAATTGATCCCCAGTAAATATGTTGATGCTATGGAACCGATTTATTACAAGGGACACGGCACTGTCAGCTGCTCTAACAACTTACACGCACATGACTCGACCAAGGGGATAGTCACCAATAAAACCTGCACGACAGAACGGCTTATCATACTCCCGCAAAGTGAGATTCTTTCAGGTACACGAAGCCATGAGCCGTCTTGGCGGATGACAGGGCGCACCTAGCAGGAAAATATCTCACAGGGCCTCAAGCACGTTCGATAACTTCACCTCGAGCCCGTTGGGCATAATTGTGTAAAGTAATAATTGCACCAGGCATGACGAAGACCCCTCATGACGTCGCCCAATAACTAAGACCGGCCCTTCTATTGCTCCCGACCGAGCGGGCGGACAAGGTTGGCTGGAAGTTGTTCGCGAGGGGGGTCCTCCAAGTAGACAAACCCAAACAGCCACACCAACCCCGGCCTTCGCCCCAATACGGCTAGGGGGACGCTTAATATAAGTGTCAGCAGTATGAACCATTCGCTCGGGACGAGAACATCGTCCCCACCGTCTCTTGCTCCTTTCAACGCCCTGTCCTGGAGCTTGCTTCGACGAAGCTGGATTCTATCCACTGTCCGCCTGCTCATGTGCATTCCACGCGGACGTGTTCAGGGGAAGCTAGTCCCCCAGATCGGAAAGAAAATCGTTCCTTGGCTTCAGAGTTGCGCCGTGTCTGGGACCTAGCTTATGTGAATATCGATATCAGATGGTATTTGGAATTGGGGGTTTCAGGGTCTCGGCGTCGAAGAGGTAAGGAGTGAATGAATGATATTTAAGACAATGGCTGCTCTTCAAGAGGATGCCGTGTTCCTTAAACTTGGCCAGAAGCAACAGAGAATCCATCAAAGTTCCCTCCGCTCCTCCATCAATCATCATGCGTGGCACAGCCCTCGCCTCCGCCGCCATCGCCGCCCTGGCTTCCCATGCCAGCGCAAAAACGATCACGGTCGATGTCGGTCCTAACGGTCAATTTGCCTTTCAGCCAAACAACATCAAGGCAAGCGTCGGCGACGTCCTCTCCTTCAACTTCCACCCGGTCAACCACTCGGTCGTGATGGGAGACTTTTCAAATCCTTGTGCCCCGGCCAAGACGGGAGGCTTCTTCTCCGGGTTTATGCCCGTGTCAAGCGGAGTGGGCGTACGTATCTGAAGCCGTTACGAGATAACACTCGCCTAACAATGCCCCCCACAGAGCCAAACGTTTGACGTGACTGTCAATACGACGGATCCCATCTTCTTCTACTGCGCCCAAAACACCTTTTCTCACTGCATCAGTGGAATGAGCGGCGTCGTCAACGGTCCTTCGTCAGGAAACACGTTAGAAGCGTACCAGAGCGCCGCCAAGTCCGTTAAGAGCGCATCAAATCCCGACACCGTCTTTGGAGGACGTCTGGTCGCCAATGCCGCCGCAACAGAAACCACTGCTGCTCCAGCCAGCACTACCTCTTGCACTACCACCAATAAAGCTCCCAACAGCAATGGGTATAAGCGGGACACTTGCTCTGGGGCTGGTTCTGTTCAGGCGTCCGTTGGAATCGCCGCGTTGTCTCTTGGTATGGCCCTGCTGCTGGCCTAGTTTTGGGGTAATACGGAGGCTGCCGAGCTTGGATACCCCAATTGACATTCTATTACACAATTACACATAATGATTAATTGAACTGTTATACCCCAATCCTAGGGTCCATTTAAACTGCAATTCACTACTCATTGTAACCGAGATGCTTGCGTGACACTCGATATACATCACAACGGCGGGTTTATTAGTCTGCGGAACTGTTTCCCGGATAATAAGCACTCTTAAGCACTCTGAAGTACTGCTGCTCCTGGAATGAGCGTGTCACGAACCTGGAGGCGTCTCTACTGAGGATGCCTGGTTCTCTAAACCATTTTCGTTTTCAAGAAGTATAGTGTCGCCATAACCAGAACAACTTCTACTCTTTAGGTTTGAAGCATAGGCTATGCGCCTATATCATAATCATCGGTGCGGTCTCAGGCAAGCAAGTATGGCCATCTTGAAGATGCGGATAAAGATTATTGTTAAGTCTGGAAAGCTTGATGTCTCATGGAAAAGAATCCGTCGACTTGCACTTTTTTCGGATGACATGAGGATGTGCCAACCGCACTCGCCTCTCGACGCCGACATCTTATCAATTGTGAGATGCTGTAATGAATCAGGGCTCTCTGACCAAACTCAGCTTGGTGTTTCTTCCAATGTCTTGCCAGAGACACTTAATTCAATTCATACTCAAGGGTTAACAGGATGTTAACGCATTCTCCAACTCTACATGCCTTTTGAGCCAAATGGCTCCTGAGCATTGAAGCTTCTTTCTCTGGCCTTTCAAGTAGACATGGCGTGGACAAATCCCCTGTCGCTTCTCCACCTGTTGAGCTTTACCATAGTGCATACATCAAAATATCGACTTTCACTCTGAAGGCCGGTTTTAGCTGCAATGTCACCGATTTCCGTGCCTAGATGGATATCACCCTACCTTACTGATGCAAATCTGCCCATCTATCATGGCGACGGGCCACTGCTGCGCAACGAGTACCACATGCACACAGCCAATCAATACCGCATTTGAGGAAATAGGATATGCAATGTGACGCTCTATGAAGGTTATTTCGGAAATGCACCTGCTTAATACGACGTCTATATCCTTCGGGTGATTCATCGTCATTCTATCCTCTGCTGCAAATGACAGTCCAACAAACAAGGGACTCAAGGTATGTCTTCAGCCTAATATGCATCCCCAAGAATCACAAATCATGCGGCACTGCTAGTGTGCAGTTGTATTTACCTTCAATATGACCTTGCTTTCCACCTCGGGCCTTAACCAACATGTGGGGATGAGACGCGGCACTTGACCTGGAGAAAAAATATGCCGTAGGATAATAGATCCTGGACAGGGTGGCATCATGCCCGAAAATGGCGATGCAATTTAGCCATTATACACGATCGGATAACTCCCCGCATTGCTAGATCGGAATGCGTGTCGATCCCCCTCATTGTATGAGAGAGAACGTATCGTCGAGAGTTGCTTTTCCGTGGAGTATATAAGACGGCGCGTGAAGTGACTTTGAGTCATGGTTTCACTGTAGATATACAGGGAATACAACCAAGCGGCCAAAATGCTACTCAAGCATTGGAAAGCAGCCGCCTTTGCGGCCGCCTCCATCGTCTCCCAGGTTGAGGCCGGCTTCCTGAACTTTGGCCGTGATGCGTCATCGACAAAGCCCCAGAATAAAGATCAGTTCATTGAGTCTTTGATATCCAAGTTGACTCTGGAGGATCTAGGTAGGCCATAGATAACAATAATCTACCAGCCCAGAGCTAACGTCTATAGTTTTGCAATTACACCTCATGTTTGCCGACGACATTGTCGGAGCTGCTTCACACAATGAGTTATACGGTATAATACATTTCCGCCCACTTGCTCATATCAAGCTCTCCTAATCCAGCCCGCGTCCAGACCAAACGATGCATCTCAGCCCGAAATCCCCAATCGGAACCATCCACGACTGGTACCCCATGAACAAATCCTACTTTAACACGCTACAAAAACTCCAGCTGGAAAAATCTCACGTCAAGATCCCCATGATGCTCGTCGAAGAGTGTCTTCACGGCGTCGGCTCGTTCAAACAGTCCCTATTTCCCCAAAACATTGCCATGGCAGCTTCTTTCGACACCGGCATTGTGTACAGGATTGGAAGAGCCATTGGGACGGAGGCAAGGTCCATTGGCATTCACGGCTGCTTCTCACCTGTTCTCGATCTCTGTCAAGATCCTCGCTGGGGACGTTGTCAAGAGGATTTTGGAGAGGATAAAATCCTTACATCTCACATCGGGGCGGCCTACTCCTCTGGTTTGTCTAAAAACAAGTCCTGGTCTGATCCGGACGCCGTGTTTCCCATCATGAAGGTAAGTGTGTCGCGAGTATGGTGCTTTCTGCGTCAGCTAACAAAGTAGCACTTTGCCGCCCACGGCTCCGCCCAAGCAGGACACAACACCGCACCGTTTACGGGTCTCGGCATTCGACAGATCAAGCAAGATCTTCTTGTACCTTTCAAGGCTAATTACGATTTGGGAGGCGCGAGGGGAGTGATGATGTACGTAAACTACGGAGATTGAGGGTATTCATATCAACTCACATGCACAGGTCCTATAACGAGATTGATGGCGTGCCAAGCAGCGTCAATACGATGCTATACGAGACGTTAGACAGCTGGGGCTATGATGGCATTATCATCGGCGACGACACGTGAGTGTGACTGACCTGACTACAGACTGTAACTTACACCTAATATAGGGCTATGCGTAACCTTCTCACAGAGCATAGAGTATCCGACTCTGAAGCAGACACGCTTCAGCAGTGGTACAATGCAGGTGGACAAATTGACTTTTACGACTTTGACCTGGACAGCAAAATAAATGTAGGTAGCCAGACATATGACACAGCTGGCAGACACTTACAGAAATAGATCACCAGAGCTCTCGTCGCCAACGGGACCGTCCCACTCAAGACTCTCCAATCCCACGTCCGCAAGATTTTGGGCGTCAAATGGGACCTCGGCCTCTTTGAGAATGCCTACATCCCAGAGGACATTGATCCCCTGGCAATCGTTGCGAGCCACCAAGACGTTGCCTTGGAGGCCGCGCACAAAAGCATCGTTTTGCTCAAAAACGACAACCAGACACTCCCGCTGAGTTCCTCGAAGAAGAAGATTGCGCTCATAGGGCCCTTTGCTGATACCATCAACCTCGGCGATTATTCCGGCGCTCTTGGCCAGTATCCCGCCAACTACACGCATACGCTGCGGGAGGGGATTCTAAGCCATGTCAAAAAGTCTGGCCACTCCGTTCAAACGAGCTGGGGCACAAACTCATGGGAATACAACAACCAATATGTCGTCCCAGGCTACCTTCTCTCCTCGAACGGTAATTCTGGCGGGCTCAAAGCGACGTACTATGCTGGTACAAACTTTACCTCTCCCAAAGCAACGCGAACAGAGGTTCCCGCGCAAGACTGGGGCCTTTATCCCCCTCCCGGTCTTTCCTCCAACAACTTCAGTGCCGTCTGGGAGGGCCAATTCGAGTCACCCACCGACGTCGACGTCAACGGATGGATCGGTCTTGCCATTGGACCAAACAGCACTTCAAAGCTCTACGTCGATGGAAAGCTGATCTCATCGAGGGGTTACAGTGGCACAGGAAACCTTTTGGGCACAATCGAAGGATACGGCTGGACACAAGCCAACTCCACCCTTCCTCCTCAAGGCGGCGTAGAGTTCACGTTCAAGAAAGGTGCGAAGCATCACGTGCGCATCGAGTTTCAGTCGTGGAACAACTACAAGAAGACGGCCAACGTCAACTCTGTCAACTCACAGCTCATCTTCTGGTGGAACCTCGTTTCTCCCAACGGCGAGGCCCTTCAGCAAGCCGTGTCCATTGCCAAAGACAGCGACATCGTTATCCTCGCGGTGGGAGCTGCTTGGAACAGCGACGGGGAGAGCGGAGACCGGGGCACACTGGACCTGGCACCCAGTCAGGAAGAACTGGCAAAGAGGATATTTGCCCTCGGCAAACCTGTGGTGCTTGTTCTTGAGGGCGGAAGACCATTTGCCATTCCCGACCACTACGAGCAGTCGGCGGCCGTATTGAGCACCTTTTTCGGCGGGCAAGCCGCCGGACAAGCCACTGCAGACGTGCTTTTTGGCACGTTCAACCCCGGAGGTCGTGTCCCGATTACCGTTCCCTATTCAGTTGGCCAGTTACCTGCTTATTACAATTACAAGCCGTCCGCTCGGGCAGCGCAATATCTCGACATTCCGACTGACCCCATCTATCCCTTTGGATACGGCCTTTCCTACACGACCTTTGAGACCTCTGCCCCCACCGCATCCATCAAAGGCAGCTCAAAGCGATCTAGCATCGATGCTCGAGCAAGCCAGTCCTTTGGCACGGGTGATTGGATCAACTTTTCAGTGACCGTCCAGAACACTGGCTCGGTTGCTGGAAGCTATGTAGCACAGGTATATCTTTTGGGCCGTGTGTCGACCATCACCCAGCCAGTGAAGCAGCTGGTCGGCTTCCAGCGCGTCTATCTCGATGCTGGTGAGAAGAAGACTGTGGACATTGAGCTCGAAGTCGACAGGTATCTCAAGATACTCAACAGGAAGTACGAGTGGGAGCTCGAGAAGGGGAGCTACACATTTGCTCTGCTCGAGCATGGGGGGAGCAATGCGGACACATCCAAGAATGTGACGCTGGAATGCGTTGGTTGAAGAGGTAGTGCTCTGCTTAATTCATGCTTGTATTGAAAGTCGTCTAATATGAGATTTTGAACACGTTTCATGTTCGATGAGTCTGAGCCACAGCAGCGCGAATTCCACACAGCAGAACCCGGGCGGTACAGAAGCCGAGGGTGCGTAAAGGGTTTATCTTAATATAGAACGGTGCTGCTAAATTCAGAAGGCTTGGTGCGCGGGCCGCATGAGCTTATTGCGAACTCACGTGTCGTCCCGTTGGGAAAGATCGGGACCCCGCTGGTGCCTTGTAACTTCCCGATTAACATGCCATCACGCAAACAATGCACAGCTTGATGAATATGTGGATTATATCTATATACAGAGTCTATGTGCAACGTCGCCAGTGCAACATGTCTAGCAGTACTGGCAGGCTCCCTCAGGGCAGTATCTGTACCATTGTTAGCTTCGCACCAAACATAGGGACCCGGCAACACACACCCGTGACTGCAAGTGAAGCTGCAGAGGCCAGAGTACGAGGACGGCTCGCCAGCAACGGGGCATCCGTCCCGTCCATCGCCGGCCGGAGGAGCGGGAGCCGTGCCGAAGCTCGTGCAGACGCACGGGCCGACAGGGCAGTAGCCGTAGCTTTTTCCATGTCAGCGGAGGCACAATACAACCGGAAGTGTGACTTGACTTACTTGCAAGAGAAGCTGCAGAGACCAGCAAAGTTGCCAGACTCGCCAGGAGCAACCTCACCGCCGTTGCAGTTGGTGGGATCCGCGGGGACGGAGCTGCTCGTCTTGGAGGGGCCACCAGAGCTCGTGGGGGTGGCGGGCGGGCTGGCCGGGACGGAAGGATTCGTGCCCAGGGAAGGCTGCGGCAAGCAGGTGGTCACATGCAGACCGTTGGTCAGCGAGGTCAGACCGTCGTGGCCCAGAGGGTCAGACGGTCCGGCGGGCAGCTCGCCGACGTAGGCGTTGAAGTTGTAGATGCCGCAGTTGCACACGTTGGTGATGTCCATCAGCGAGGTTCCGGACAGGACGTTCTGGCCATTGCGGCTGACGACGAAGCTCTGCTTGCCGAGACCAGCAGGCACGGTGTTGAGGGTTGCGCCGGCCGGGACGTTGAAGGACTGCGAGTTGCCTCCGCTGGTGACGGTAAGAGTGGCAGCAGACTTCAAGAGAGTGACGACAAAGACGTCATCATCCATCGTCTGCCAGCCGTTGGGAATTCCCTCAAAGTAGTTGCCGCTGGCATTGTTGGCAGGCTGGTTGGCGGTCGTATCAGTCGCGTCGCAGTTGAGCGTCTTGAGGTTGCGTCTGTCTTTCGTTAATCATCCGTCTCCCGTTCTCGTAGGCTGCAATACTGACCGGTACCAGTAGACGACATGCTCATCCGTAATGTAGTTTGCCACGTTTGTGTCTTTGTTCTTGTAGGCAGCAATGAAGGGCTTGGAAAGAGTCAACCAGCCGTCGTGGGGCATGTCGTTGACCCACTTTGAGCCGCCGTCGTCTCCGTGAATGCTGGACAGAGGCCCGACATAGTGACTCTCACCATAATCATTCCAGGTGATCATTTCGATCATGGAGAAGTCGCTCAGAACAACTTCCTGCCATCTGGTATAGATTTGCTCATTGGATGGGAACACAAAATTCTTGCTGTAATTAACCTCAGGGCCGTAGTGAGTCGAAAACCATGGAGAAACAGGCGCCATATAGGTCTTGCCACCCAGCCAGGCCTTGTAAGAAGCATCACCATCGGCAATAGTCACGTTGGCACCAGGGGTCGGTGCCTTGTTGTTGCCGTTGGTGTCCCAAGCCTATCCAGCACGTCAGCATCGGCAGCCTCAAATCTCTCCTCAAATCTCCCCTCAACTCTCGAGACTTACCTGCCAGCTGAAGGCTCCATCGATGCCATCGGTGCTCGACTGGCCGGGATGGAAGTTGGGAACGAAGTAGGGGTTGACGCCGGAGGCAGCCTTCATGGCATTGGCATCAAGGCCGTCACCGGCGAACGAAGAGACAAACGGACGGCCGTCAACCTGGAGCTGGGCGGGGTGGCCTGCATACTGCGCGACCTTGGCTCCGACTCCAGCCGCATCACTAGGGCTCCACCAGTTGAAGTCGAAAGAGATGAAGACCTTCATCCCATTGTTGGCAGCCGACGTGTAGGCGTACTCCAGCTGTTGATCGGTATACGAGTCGGTGCCGATGTTGAGGGCAAAGGCATCGATTCCCGCGGCTTTCGCCTGCTGGAAGTCCGCGTCATACTGCGATGCAGAAGTGCGGTCTCCTACAATGCCAATCTACAGAACATGAGATTAGCTGGGTAGTCACCAAAGGACCAGGTATGCATACCATAAAGTGAGCAAACACGAGTCTGTCAGCCGCACTCTGTCTCGACTCAAGAGACCTGACGTTGGAGGCGGCATTGGCAAATGAAGACAGAGATGCTGCAGCAGCAAGGGCACTGAGCCCGAGGCGACGGAGGCTCGCCATCGTCAACATTGTGAGTGATTGAACTCGTTTGGCGTGATGAATCTCGAACTCATAGAGGGCACCTGCCCGACCCTTTATATCTTTCCGACATCCTCTCCTTAACCAGAGCGATAGTCCCGGCCATACTCTGTATGAAACATGCCATCAAGGTATAGCGATCGGTCCGAAGCGAAAGCCTGGCCCCAAGTCATCCTGCCCCCCCCTATCCATCTCGATCCCCAAAGGCTCTAGCGCACCCACCGCGCCTAAAGCGAGCTAAGCCGAAAACCATATACTCGAAAACTCGACGCCCTACGTGGCGGCCGGAACGGTACAAGTTTGCTTCATTTCTGGGCATCTTGGAGACTTGCCGCAAGGCTGTCTATCGGTCAGGGCGAGCCCACCTGAGTAAACAAGAAATGCAAAATTGCGGATGATGTACGGAAGTGCTATAGAATTCCACACGGCTTACACTGGAGATGCGCACTAGCTGAGCCCTGGCAGTTTTCAGTATACAATGCCTACAATATGCAAACTGGGATGCTCCATGTCATAGGTCCTCATATAAACAACACCACCAGCCGAGCAGATCGATCCTGAATCCCCTGAATCCCATTGCAACAAGGCATCCGATGCCTCCTCAGGTCAAAGGATTGATCTTTTGCTTCACCTGTCGAAGGAAGTCGCAGGGAGTATACAGTTAGACACCGAGATCCGCCGAGTAAGCCTGGAGTTGCCGCCGTGAGCCACCGCCTATACGAGGTTTCTCACTTATGGCACGACACACACAAACTTTTGCTTCCTCATTTGCCAATTAGTAGAGCTGAACGATCCCACGGGCTCGCGACCTGCCAGACTCAGCCGTGGTTCGAATGTAAATTGCCAGGGCCGAGGAATGCCAACGTCAGGCACCTTAAATTAGCCAGGGGGCCTGCGTCCCCATAACTAGCTAAGCCGTGCCGGGATTTGCCACCAACGGGAGGCGCCAATCATCGTTGAGACGGTAAAGTGTGAATACGATACTAGAAGAATGCTGGAGATGAGAGGCAAAGAGATGCTGCGGATTCCGACAGATACCGCAGTCCGTAGAACCGCGAAACGCCGGTCAAGTCCTGTTCCAAGACTAACTTGTCCAATCCCGATCCGATCGATGAATTTCGAGCTATTCAGAATTCAGAGAGGTGTGCCCCAGGTTTCCTATTTCTCCGCCAGTTTGGTGAGGGCCGAGGTCCGTGGACGGACATTTGCAACAAGTCCGTATGTACTTGTACTCATGTTGTCTACGGCCTGCAAGTCGAGTTGTCTGGCACTTGATGCCCGATATTAAGTTCACAATAGGCTATGTACTGGCGTCAGAGGCTATCCCGACGGATGACCACAGTGTCTTGCGATTCGCTCGTTCTCCGCTCTCATACTCTGGGGTAATTGTCCCGACCTGCAGAGGAGACTCAAATCGCCACAGTTTGGGGTGTACTCTAGCTATGTGGTCGCAATAGGATCAGTAACGAAGCAATATTCTTCCATCGTTCCACCGATTCAATTAATTCAGGACTCAAGCAACCACCAACACGAAGAACAACCACAACCCGTCAGCAACCAACGGAAACAAAAAGCCGGAAACTTACCCCTGCAACGCAAGAAGGCTGACCACGAACCAATTCCACCGGTGGGTGTCCTCTCGCAGTTGCTCCATCTCGTCTAGCATGGCCTGCTCCCTCACTCAATGCCACCCATAATGGACATAATCCTCACGCCCGGCGGGATGATGGGCGCTCGTCGGTGGGATGGCGGGCATGCACTCCTGCGTCTGATCCCACGCTACGAGGTATGCAGGCTGGCCTAGGAGAATAGGGCACTTTGGAGCTGATGGCTTTAGCAGCGATGCAACCGGAGCTAGGAATTTTACAGACGGCAAATTATCATAAGATCTGAAGAAGTGAGCGGGCGTTAACAACTCTCGGTGCAGGGCTTTTGCGGCAGTGGCGCTACGTCTTATGGTTCTATTATGCTTAAGTCGAAGGTGCTCTGCTGCGAATGAATGTGAACATCAGTATCCTTCTGTATTCGCAGAGTCTCTGGCTTCAATTCTTCCAACGGCCGCAACTCACCATCCACGAGTAAACACCCGAGTGCTAATGAGCTGGCATGACTCGCCCCCAACTCATGCAGCGCCAGCGGGGCATCCACCCAGTATAATCAGATCTCGCCGCGGTCATACGTGCGAGATGCCAAACACAGAAGGACGTTAAGCCCGCACCCATGCAACCCATCAGCAGTAAGCCGCGTATCCGCTCGGCAGAGGCCCAGGTAGTGCCGGCAGGTCATCTGGTTGGTCGTACCATAAGCAGGACCGTCCAATCATTCCCAGACGGATATCCAGGAGCCTGGAGTGGCATTCAACGTTCCTTTCGCTCTCCGTCATGTTCCGCCAAGGCCTATCGTGATCTTTCCCGTTGCCTAATTCATAGTGTTCAGTTCTCAACCCCCTTCACATGCGGTCCGTCGCTGTACTCGAACCCCTGCAACTTCACGACAAGCGCGCTCAAAGAGAGGAAGTAAGCAGCGCTTTTTGCACTAATAAGCACGTAGACACAGATGAGCATTGGGCAAGGACTTTACCACCGGCGTTTAAAGCTCCTCGCCAAAAATACCACACCCAGTCGCCAACTCGCGCATGAAAGTCCGGCAGTCATCAGCGCCTCTGCACGGAATAGTGTCCAGCGCTTTGTCGCGCCCTGCAGAGAAACAGCAGCTGCAAAATTTTCCCCGGCCATTTACATACTTGTCATCTCAAAGCCACTCGGACATCATGCTTTTGTCGGAGCAGTCTATGGCCGAGGATCCACGCGATGGCTGTGCAACGCTCTTGACTAGAGGTTGGGTATATCAAGAGTAGCTGCAGTCGCGCCGAATGCTTCACTTTACACTCAACAAGCTGAACTAGGAATATCTCGAGACGAACCGATGCGGGCGTGGCTGGCACGAGAGCAACATGGGCCACTAAAGTACTCGAGAGTTAAAAGAGCGATCTCCCGCAGACAAAGCATGAGTCGAATGTATTGGAGGTTATGCAAGGCGGCCCCTGACGGTAATCACCAACAGACTTCCGGCTCTGGCAGGGATCGGTAAGGCGATTACGGCGGTCAGAGGGTACGATTCGGCCAAGTACCTTTGCGAGATGTGGGAAAGGGAACTCGAGGAGTCGTTCTTTAAGTAGCCAACCGAACCTCCTCGAGTTCGGCCTGCGATTTGGCTACCATCGCAATCATGGGCTTGTGTGGTTGCGATGTTGAATGCTGGAAAGAATCGTAGACACTGAGTCCTTGGGAAGCAACGTAGTCTATGCCGGAGATGCTCTCCTAGGCAACATGGTAAGCCGCATGCTGTCTTTCCGGATATGTCGCTTCTAAAGTCGTGTATCATAGCCATGAGTGGGCCGATATTTTAATTGCCAAACAATAAGAAGGACTGGATGTTTCGACCAGTGAGATAGCCACGGACGAACTCGGATGAAAGCTTGGAGGGCTGTTTGCCACTTTCAGCCCAGACTACGGAGTACACATTCTTCCGTTTTCATGTTGTTATGATTCTTCCTAGAGTGGCTATCCTTGGCTATTCCCCATCCTAGCAAGTTGACATCTTCTATTGATACTAGGTATACCTAGAAAACAAATTACACTCCTTATTATTGTTATAATATCCTTCCAGTTTAAGAGAAGCTTCTATTGATATCGAGTAACTAGACTATCTAATAGTAGGAGTGAGAACAAGATGAGGCAGCCGGGCGGTTGTTACAAGCCAAACTATAGCGTGCTCAAAACTGGCTGGCAAAAGGCTTTTCCTCTAGACCAGTGCCTTCATCTTCTCAATGGCTTTTTCCGTAGTCCACATCGCGTTCGTAATGAAACGATAGTTGGTCATGGCAGCAGCGTATCCATCACCCTCGTCATTCTGACCCCCAGCAATAGCATCGCGCACTATGGCGACTTCGAACCCATACTCTAGGATATCACGAACATGATTCTCCAGACACAGGTTTCCCACAGGGCCCGCCACGATAACCTTTTCAATACGTCGCTGTCTCAGCTGCCTAATCAAATCGTTCGAAAGGCACGACAGTCCCTTGTGAGGGGACGTGTTGACCGTCTTGCCATCCATAAGGTACTTCTTGAGCCGCTCGGGATAATCAGCACCAGAACCGTGAAAGCCCTGAAGATCAACGGGATCCTTTCGGCCCACAAAACCCGCGGGAAGATGGGCAAGATAGTCGACAATTGCAGAGCCCGGAGCAACCCACTGATGGTCGGTAGGATAATAGTAGTGCGGGGAGTGGATCACGTAGATGCCATTCTCTTGCGCAGTCTTGAGGAGTTGTTCAATGTGATCGTACACGTTGAGCTCTTTGAACTTGTCTTCGATCATAGGGTAGTAGCTTCCGAACGGCTCAAGGAATTCGTTTTGAAGATCAGTCACCACGAGCGCCGTGTGCTTCTTCTCCCCCAGCTGCATCTCCGGGTTGTGGTGGGTAAATGTGAAGGGCATCTTTGCGGCTATGAACTGGTGCGTGCCACGATGTTGGGTAAGAGTATTCTGGAAATAAGCTTTGGTAGCTTGTATGTGCTAAGGGTCTTATAAGTTGATGGGACTATGTCTATGTGAGTGGTGTCTTTGAAGCGGTTGTGGTGATGGACTTACATATATAGCAATACGATAGTTACATCATAAGAGTCGTACCGTAACACCGTTGACGGTGATTCCTAAAAACAAAGCTTGATACAGAGATCACAAGCACGTCTGTTTGTCTGTTTCGAGAAATTGCTTTCCAGATTTGCAACTGCCGAACTACAGCAATGGTAGGCAGTGGCCAAACTGGCCGCTACATGTAGGGTATCCCGATTGCCCGGGACCAAGCAATAGCAGGCTATGAAAGTACAATTCATATTTCCTGGTTGAGTTAGCCGTTCGTTGCACTTTCGTAAGCGGGTCTGACTGATGTGGCTGCTCATGGGCATTGTGCCTGATGACACACGCAAGCACTGACACGAGCACTGGAACTTTTTGCAATTTGGTCAAGAGATATGTGCCCGGAAGTAGCAGACATTTGAAGAAGATTGCGAGAATCCAAATCATATTATCTACTGCAGTTAGGCGGTTGAGGTTTTGTAGTAAGCAACCGCCCGGATACTGTGGAGGTTAAACTTGGCTTACCTAGTCCATGTAACCCAACCTCAGCTGAGCGACGCTTCTTCACTCATGAATGTCATCAACCTTCGTAAATTAGAGG